GGCCAATAAAGGCCGATAGAGAAAGTAATATTGCTGTTTGAAGAGTTACAAGATAAAAAAAGGCAGTAAAGCATAATCACTGTACTGCGCTACCAAGCAGTAAGCACAGCATGTATGTATCATGTGCAAATATAGATGTCTACAAGCATAGCTAGAATTTAAAATACAATATTTCTCCTCTCAAAACTTTTTTCTTTCCATCTTTCTTGGTGAACTTCCTTCCCAATCCTGCTGCCCAGGTAATGAAATAGCAGCAATACACTTCCAGGTGCTCCATGTGCCCTGCTATCCTGTAAGTAAATCCCAGTGCTAGATTGACAACACTGAATTATGGCTAACTCACATTACTGGCTCTCTTTCATTCTGAATCCTGATATGAATATGATTATGGGAAGCTAATGTAAAGTCAGATGTATTTAGTTATATTAGTTGTATTCAAATATAAAATCAGATGCTTTTTAATGAATACATAACCCTATTAAAGGGTTTTTACATTTTTCAGCTGCTCCAAATAAAAATATATGCCTAAAATAAAAAGAGTAATGGAATTCTAGAAAGGGCAGCCAATAGGGATAAGCTTGAGTTTGTTCGGACCCAGGTTTGGGTCCAAACCTGAAAGCCAGCTGTCATTCCTGAATGAGCTGCAGGCAGGAGATTTCCTGTCCCACAGCTGACAGGGTAAGGGACAGGGATGCTCCTGACCTCATATGACCAGATGGCCATATTAGGTCAATGACATTAATCTAATGTGTCCATGGCGTTGATGTCATAAGCATCACTGCCCTTTTGTAAATACTTACGCCTTGCGGGGAAATACCCACCTGCAACTCATTGGACAAAGAATGGGAGCTGGCTTCCCGAACCTGGACAAGCACAAGATCATCCCTAGTAGCAAACATGCTGGTAAAATAGTTAAAGTGAGGCTTAGTACTTTAGAACCTTAGTACCTTACCAATCACTGTGTCGCTTCTTGAATAATAGGAAAAGGTATTATATGGAGCCTTAATTTCTGACCAAGTCAAGATAAAGTTTTAACCCCCTTCCAATAAACTGATGCTCTGGCCTTTGACAGAACAAAGTTTAGTGCCAAGAGGGGTTGGGACATAATCTCAGCTTGAACAGATACTGTATTAGGGCCTAGGATCTTAAGAGCTGCTAGGATCAGAGGATACAGCAGTCAATTCGAAAACTAGTACAGATATTAGTATTAGGACACCCCTCCAAATCATTGGATTCAGGTGTTCCAATCACCTCCATGGCCACAGGTGTATAAAATCAAGCACCTAGGCATGCAGATTGCTTCTACAAACATTTGTGAAAAAATGGATCACTATCAGGAGTTCAGTAAATTCAAGCATGGTACTGTGATAGGTTGCCACCTATGCAATAAGTCCATCCATGTAATTTCCTTGCTACTAAATAATCCATAGTCAACTGTTAGTGGTATTATAAGAAAGTGGAAGCAACTGAGAACAACAGCAACTCAGCCACAAAGTGGTAGGCCACATAACAGCAGGGTCAGTGCATGCTGATGCACACAGAAGTCACCAACTGTCTGCAGGTCAATAGGTAAAGACATACAAACTTCATATGGCCTTCAGATTAGCACAACAACAGTGTGTAGAGAGCTTCATGGAATGGGTTTCCATGGCCGAGCAGCTGCATCCAAGCCTTATATCACCAAGTGCAATGCAAAGAGTCAGATGCAGTAGTGTAAAGCACGGCGCCACTGTACTCTAGAGCAGTGGAGAAGTGTTCTCTGGAGTGCCGAATCACGCTTCTCTGTCTGGTAATCCATTGGATGTTTCTGGATTTGGTGGTTGCCTGGAGAACGGTACTTGCCTGACTACATTGTGCCAAGTGTAAAGTTTAATGGAGGGGGGATTGTGGTGTGGGTTTTTTTTTTTCTTTAGGGGTTGAGCTTGGCCCCTTAGTTCCAGTGAAGGGAACTCTTAAGACAAGACATTTTGGACAATTTAATGCTCCCAACTTTGTGGGAACAGTTTGGGGATGTCCCTTTCCGGTTCCAACATGACTGCGCACCAGTGCACAAAGCGAAGTCCATAAAGACAAGGATGAGCGAGTTTTGGGAGGAGGAACTTGAATGGCCTGCACAGAGTCCTGACCTCAACCTGATAGAACACCTATGGGATGAATTAGAGCAGAGACTGCAAGCCAGGCCTTTTCATCCAACATCAGTGCCTGACCTCAAACATTCTCATAGACACTCCTAAACCTTGTGGACAGCCTTCCCAGAAGAGTTTGAAGGTGTTATAGCTGCAAAGGATGGGCCAACTCAATATTGAGCCCTACGGACTAAGACTGGGATGCAATTAAAGCTCGTATAACAAACAAAAAAACAAAAAGCAACAAATGGTTATTGCTCTAGGTGTGGTAGAGTGAATATTGTGGAGTTTTTTGCTAGACGTCAAAAAAGTAATGGGATGCCCCATTACTTTTTAGCTATTCCACACAAAATATTCGGCTATACCAGAACGTGCTTTTTAACCAATTCTGCGCCTTCATTTTCAAGCCTACCATGAATTCCTATAAAACGGTGTGCCAGATCACTTTTAATATATTAATAAAAAGACACAGTCATTTTTACCATTCACCTTTATTTCAACAATAAATCCTATGAAAAATAAGTTATTCAACATTTACAAAACACATAAAAAAAATATTACCCAATAATATCAATACTTATATAAAAATCATATATTTATATAAATAATACCCTTGATTGTCACTGTAGAAAAGTAATCAATGAATACAACAGCATGAAAGAATCTACACAGACAAAATCCCTTAAAAAATACAATATTCCTTAGATAAGTGCTTAGCCTCTCATATTCAAATAAACATCACTCCAAAAAATATGTTTGTTTCACATTATTTAAAGGCAGTGATATTCAAATGAAATATAGTGTATATTATATGACTGTATTATAGCAGCAATGAGAATAGTGAATAGGATCGCTTCTTGAATGATACATTTATGGTTTTTAAAGGAAATGATCTTTAAATCGGTTTTGCAATGTTTGTAAGTTTCTATCCCTGCACATGAGATTAATTTAATTTTGTTAAAATTGTTTTCATGAATAATACTTTAATATTCTAGAGCTGTGCCTATTTGTTTGAAGAATTTTTTTTTTTTTGGTTTAAGTGAAACCATTTGGTCCCATGTTTCCAAGGTAGAACTAATTAGGTCAGGTTATGGGGAAATGTAATGTGACGTCCAATTTCATGTACTTGATCCAGGGCAAAGAACTGAGCCTATTTGGTATTGGGCATTTTTCTATTGGAAAAAAGGAACTTTGTCTGTTTCCTCTCAAACTAAAAAGGCATATTTTTTACTGGTAGTGCAGCCATGTTTAAATGATTATTATGCTCAAAAGTGATATTACACTTACTAGTTTTGTGTAGTGAGCTGCATCATCTTATGGTTTCTTGTGACAGTTGGGGACTCCAACCATGAGATTATCCTGCCAGAGAGTTTTATTTCACCCACTTTGGTTGTCCCTGCCACCTCAAGCTGTTCCCATACACATTACATTCTGACGGTACAATTCTGTTTAGAGCTACCAACAACTATGTAGTGCAAGGGCCTGCCTTATCCGATTGAAAGACAAGACAATTGTACAAATTAAATTGTAATTTACATGAAAAAACAACAAAAAAAACCCCCCACAAATCTGGCAGTATAGATTTTAGAACTCAAACAGGTTTCATCATTGGAGTCCTTGAGACACAGAAGGCACTGTTAGGCAGCTTTAACAAGATAACAATTTGGGTGGACTGACTCTTGATACCACCAATGGGACAGTCCATAAAAACCTCTATTTCCTAACTTCGTGATAGTGTATTTTGATACTGGCAGGTTAGGTTCCCTTCAACAGGAAACTGAAGGCAGACTGCACACTCTATGTCCACTGCTAATAAAACATACAAACATAAGTCAAACAACCTGGAGCATTCCAGTTGTTGCATAAGCAGAGCTCTTAGAGGTCCGTAGATCTGCAATAGATTTACATATCTACATGTGGCTTTCCAGTAAACAAAGCAAAATAAAAAAGTAATGATTAACAGCAGGTAATAAAGAATTGTGGTGTGCAAGCCACATTACTAACTTCAAATGTATAAAAGGTAATATCTCTAAAGGCTAGGTTCACACCTATGCAGGTTGCGTTTGACCTGGTTCTGCATTGCGTTTTTTTCTTTTTGCTAGGCAGATTTAAAAACACATCAAAAACACACTACATGCATTTCTAAAGCGTTTCTATTGAAGTATATAGAACCAAAAAATGCACCAGGTGAAAACACAGATGTGAACATGTCCCATAGGAAATCATATGAAATGGACTGTACTGCATTTCTGGAAAATGCATTAGGTGTGAACCTAGGGTAAGGCTTTTTATTTGGAAAGAAACCTACTGCAACCATCCAGAATTCAGATTTGACTACTACAAAATGGTTGCTGAGGCTTACTGCATAGAACTATTCATAGCAATATAATAAATAACTTCTGTATATTGTGAAGAAAGAGGCATTTCTTGTACCACATTCTTCTGTACCGTGCCCTTTCAACACATCATACTTTGTACCCTTGGTAGTGTTTTCCGGTAGTGCTTTCAAGTCACATTATATTATTTTTACATCTATTATTACAATTTATATTATTATAAAACTTTGCACTAGGCTTCCTAGAACTGATTACCCAAAATCACGTAAGCTCATCTAAATCCATATTATAATTATTAATTTATAAAAATAAATTGTGTAGTGTTGAAACATATCACAAAAAGGAATGCATATTAATATTCTCAAAATCAAAACAAGATTTAAGTCAGAATTGACCAAAAAAATACATAACCTTAATGTTTCATAGAAACCAAGATTATCCTACACTACTCAGAGTCTTGCTCCACTCCTCTGCAGTAGCGGGTACTGTGCAGTCATATAGCAGTAGTCAACAAAGACAATTATCTCAGAATTGGGATTTAAACATTGTTTAGTGGCTCTGTCTCCTTCGTCTTTTCTTCTTTCTTTTTTCTACACAAGCACACGATCACCAACAGGATTATAATAACTATGAGAAGGACAACTGCTACAATTACAGCAACCAGAATAGTAAAATCAAATTCTGAAAAGGGAACAGAAAAAAAAATAGGTTAGATGCCATTATTACAACACACTGGATCACATAAGCATGCATTAGTTATAATATATAAAATATATGTATCTGTAAAGATACATATGCTAAGATATTTAGCCTTTCCACCAAAGCTCCTTCTGTGTTAGTAGTTGCAGACACCATGTAGTGCAATACAAATTAAGAAGGTCACGCAGTAGTTAAAAGTGTGCCAAAAGCTTGTCCTAAAATAGTGCCAATTACTACACAAGCTTATCAAGTTCACTGGAGAAAAAAAAAAACACCCGATAGTGTCAGGGACTATAATAATATTAAAATATTTGTATAGAACATAAAAAGTATTAATTTACAGAAGGTTTGTCATCATGCTTCACTGTATACAGTTTTGTTAAGCATATGATTTTGTGCTATCCTTTGTAAAGATTTTTATTATCCAAATTTATAATTTGGTTTTAGTATCTTACAAAATACAAAAAGCTTGCCCTAGCTTTTAAACGGCTATACCTACTCCTTAGGAATGTGTACGGAATAGACTTTGGCTAATGATGTACAGATGTGTTAATTATCTGGATTTGAGAAAAAACTTAAACTATGAAGTTTTAAAGACTTTTCAGTGATTGATATTTTAAAATGTTTACTGATTTTTGTATGTTTGATGTATTTTGGATACCTCTGTGTGATCAAATAAAGTCACACCTATTTTTAACTTAGCTGACTATTTCAAAGAAAGTATTATCTACAATTGCCCAAGACACCAATATTAGAAGGGTCTAAAAATCTAACATCCTTCAGTTGGCCATTGGATGGCCTATCTTAGATGCCCGATAAGCAGCCAGATGACCAACTGAAAGAGCGCATAGCAGGCCGACAATGCTCCTGCCAACTGCAAGGAATTGGCTGAGGGTTGTCAGCTTGCTTATGGAAAAGCTGTTAATGACAGGATCCCCAGGTAAAAAAATATTTTACTTAAGAAAAAATGTATACAGCAAGACAGAATGCCAAATATATTGAGAAATAGATTTTGGATTTACGTTCACTATAAACATACTTCATGGTTTATAAAGTCACCACTTCAAGGAGATTCCATTCTGCCAATTTACTGCAGACCTCTAGATACATTTGTTGGTTACGGAGAGATTGTAATGTAATATGTATATATATATATATATATATATATATATATATATATAATATATAATATTACATTATATTTTATATTGGAGGATTATGGAAATATATAATTTGTTTGGTGTGACACTTTATACAGGTGAGTATACAAAGATAGGCTAGGTCTAGTCTCTCAATACATTGGTTGGTGTACAGAAGATGGTCCCTTTTGACACCCTCTCTAGATTTTGATTGGTTGAAAAACATAAATGTTTCTTTAAATAGACCACATGTGATAGCTAGCCATATTATTGTATCCTGTACTAACTCAGGTGCCATATTTCTGACAATCATATTTTGGCCATCCACAAGAGGTCTACGGCACTAAAGAAGGCAAGATTATTAATTGAGTGAGTGTTGCTTTGCTTATTCACTCAGCCAATTGAAAATCTTTTTTGCCAATTTAAGATTCTCTTCACCCTTTGCACATAAAACACTAATGCATTCCTGATCGATCTACCCAGTCACAGTTGACCTAAGTAGTTATTTTAAATTTATCGACAATATGGCTTTAGTGTTTGATGCATTACACTACTGTCTAGAGGCACACAACAATAAAAATGTACATAAATGAGTAATTGCAACACTTTAAGCTTCTAAAAATCAGTACCAAAGCGGCTGAACTTTGGTCACTGCTGCATTCAAAGATTAGTAATTAACATCACCTCTAACAAGGCTACTTTTTAGAGAAAGTCACAACACATTAACCAGCAATGTGTTGGTAGAAAGGGAGACAGTGAAAATAGGAGGCCCAAGTTTATAAGAACAGAGGGGAGTCTGTAAGTAAGTGCATTTGACTTTTTGACCTGTTTTGCCGTGGGAAGGAACTGCAAAGCATTAATGAAAAGTATTACGCAAGAGGACCCATCTCCCACATGTCTTATGAAGTAATTCTGGAGGAGTCAACTTACACAGAGGTACAAAAATACAGTGGAGGCTGCAAAACCTATGGTGTCTGTAAAGCAAAAGTATATTCAGAGGTATGGTCTAAAATATATACCCACACATTGTACATAAAAAGGTATGGTGGGACACATCAACAAAGGACAACACCAATCTGATAAAAGAGCATTTCTACAAAGTAAATATATGCAGTATTATACAACCCTATTTTGTGCAGTGCAATCTCCCATAAATAAGGACAAAATAAGGTTATATAGTTTGAAAACGTGTGCTGAAGTCACTTTTATGGCGTTTAGCTGCAATCTGGCATTTAAAATTACATTTTTTTATTATAACCACATTACACGATTTGAGAGTTGCACTGATTGATTTGAATATTTTATATACAGCATTATCCATAAAACCTTTGTGATTAAAGTTTTCTAGTGATTTTGCATTATTGTACACTTTATGTACATTATTAGGCAAGTTTATGTACATTATTAGGAAAGTTTATCATTTTCAGTAATTGGACTAGAACAATGACTTTCTGCAGGTTTTTAGTCTGGTGATATAGTTCGAGTTTGAGGTGTTAAAAGAGAAGAGATTTTCTTTGCCAGAAATTAGAGGGTTTTCCATTTGTAAAAAAAAAAAAAAAGTTATAATTTTGTCTCTTCCCCCTTTGTATCATCATTAACACTAAATTAATTCCTTAAGAACAGGTATTGAAGGTTCTCTCATATTTATATCCACTTCTTTTTTAGAATTCCCATTTAAACCCAAAAACGTAATATATTGCAGCTTACCAGTCGTTGAAGATGATAACTGAATTCGTTTTCTTTTTATATAGAATATACATATCGTAAACTGGTAATTAGATGAAAAACACATTGCCTATCCATTTAGGTCTATGTTTTTTTTTTTCTCCACTGTGTCTATGGAGCAGCCATACATGGTGGATCTAGTAGTTTATGCAGTAGGGATCATGTACTTACTGCATTTTTGGCAAGAAAAACAAATATTATATAGTCTTTAAAAATTTGGCTGGAATCATTGTTGTGAATTTACAATGAGAACCGTTTACTATTTTGCTCTGTTTTTAAAAATTTGACTAATTCAAGATGTCATATAGCCAGATTTTCCTTTCAAAAAGCAGGATTTGTTTAGCCCCGGAAAGGAATATAGAATGATTGAAAGCAGAGAGTCTATTCTTTGAGTACCTACCACTACTGCCTTTAGACGAGGCACATTTTTCATCTGAGTCTTGGCTGTAACGGTTTGTTTTGCGAGACAGAATGGTGGCCCGCACAAAAAAACAATAGCCTTCCCCTTTGGATGTGCTGATAACAATTTCATCGGTTGCAGAATGTGCTTCTTTCTACAGACAACAGAAAGGGAAAATGTAAGACTTAAAATACTGACAAGTCATAGAGTATCTGTTCATAATAAATTCAAAAAACACAAAACGGTTCACTGAATGGTATCAAAGTATGAATGGTATCCAGGACCAGAGGACAGCAGTCTGAAATATCTGGAACTGGCCAGAAGGCATGATATATTTTATTATTTATGGGCTAATATGGGCTTGTTTTGAGGTCTGTTTGGTTCTTGCCCTACTTTGTTGAATTCACCACTGTGGGAAAAGCAGGACAACCAATAACAAACCAATTTCAAATTGCTATTGGCAGATCAATGAAAGATCTGTTCTACTTGGATGCTCTGAGTTACTGTACTACTTGGTTGCTTTGTTTCATTACATTAATTGGTTGCTCTGGGGCTTACACTAATTATTTACTCTGGGTCTCTACACTGATTGGTTTCTCCGGGCCACTGCCTTTTACAGTGGATCTAAAGAGTCTACACACACCGCTGTTAAAATGTCAGGTTTCTGTGATGTAAAAAATGAGACAAAGATAAAATAAATTTCAGAACTTTTTCCACCTCTAATATAACCTATAAACTGTACAACTCAATTGAACAACAAACTGAAATCTTTTAGGTGGAGGGAAGTAACACAAAAAAAAATGATATAAAATAATATGGTTGCATAAGTGTGCACACCCTTAAACTAATACTTTGTTGAAGCACCTTTTGATTTTATTACAACACTTTGCAGGCTTTTTGGGTATGAGTCTATCAGCATGGCACATCTTGACATGGATGCAGGCCCTATTCAGCTTCTTCGATTATCAAAACAGTATCTTGGGAAGGAGGATAGAGTCATGGCCATCCTTGGCCTGCACTTTGGCTGGTTCATTAGGAACTGGTCAAGAGTCTGTACAATGACTTCCCTTTTTCCCCTCCACAGTTTAGTAGTAAACAAGCAGAAATAGTGCTCATCCCATTGCTCTCTACTCCGGTTATATTTTTCTGGAGCTGAAAGGAGTTGGGGTACTTCTGTAGTGTGGAAAGGCCTCTGGAAGACGTTCACTGATTTGACTGATTGGAACTTTTTGGACAAAAAAGTTGCTAAGAGGGTCAAAAAAATAACAAGGATCATGATGAGAAGGGACAATATTTACCTTTCCTGTGCTGCCGTCCTTCCTGTAAAAAAGCGTATACTGGAAATCTTCTCCAAACATATCATGAACAGTCTTAAGAGTTTTTATTATCGAATCTGTAGGGTGTTACTGGAGATTTAACAACAACTTTGAGTTCAGTGTGGTCTTCATTGAAGTCAAAACTTTCAAAAACTGGTTTTCCAATGATTGCTAAAATGACAGGAAAAAAAAAAAAAAAAAAAAAACACTTTATAAATAAACAATGCAGGTAAGAAAGAAGAAGATAAAAAAAGTGAAATTAATGTAGTATCGATACTTTTATGCTGCTGTACATGGGGGGGGGGGGGGGGGGGGGGGAGGGGGTCACTCCTAGCTGGTTATAGCAACATTGACAACTATGGGCTCCTGTCAGGGTTCTGTACAGTAGCCCCTTTCAGGATTGGTATAGCATGTTAGAAAGAGGGGAAGTAATGTTTAATACAAAAAAAAAGTATCTTCGCATGGCATGTTCTTTTACCATGTGTCATCTTCAGTGATATTTCAACACCCAGCCATCAGAAGATGTAGGTTCTGACAGTAACTAGCAGTTGCATTTTTAAATAAGTGATTGGAATAAGTGGGCACAGAGATGAGTCTGTACTCCTATCAGCATATTCCTTTTCAGTATATTTGCAAGCATCACCCCTGATGTTCCATCCAAACTTGAACTTTCCTGTGCAGGGAAACTACAAGAGGCTGATATCAAGCCAAATTCAGGGAACTACAAGAGGCTGATATCAAGCCAAATTCAAGTACACTAGTTGCATTTAATGTTTTTTAATGACTTCACAATTGCATTAAGTGGTGCCACAGTTATATCTGCTCTAATAAACACTCAGAGAATTATGTAGACTCCCATTGCTGATCTCTCCTTAAGAGAATATTAGTTCTGTGGATGTCAGGCTAATATATTGGCTTCAGTACTTTCGGAGTTACTGATCTGGATGTGGCCTGTAACTCAAAAGTATAGAAGTTTGACACAGCCATTCAGGTAGTATTTCAGAAGGAGAACCAGACGCAGTTTAGTCCATTATCTCCTTTGGAAACATACCTGCCTATGAGTGCAGTTGTCATTGAAAGAAAACCTGTGCCAAGATAAATGTTGTCTTCCACTATTTACCTCTTTTTCTGAAAATGCTAAGTCCCTGGCTGTCATGTTGATCCAATGGCTTCAGTTTCTATAAGTATCTAACTGGAAACAAATATGCAGATAGTCAAGTTCTAGCATTGCTTTAACTACCTGTTGTATGTTTTCTTCTGGGCAAGTGACTAAAGCCAGGTTCATACTAATCCTTTGCAGTAACAAAGACATATTATTAAGACTTAGGTTGCACATGAGAATGCTTTGCGTCAAGGCAGCCCATCCATTTTGAGTGAAACGGCGAATGGTCTCCCATCACACTCAAATGCACACCTGACTCTTGTTTGGGAAGGCAACGCATGGCAATGCACAGTAGTACGTTTCAGCTCACTGCATCATAGTTGGATTTCCTGACAAACCCAGGCAACTAAAGTTTTTTGAAAGGAGGTCAGCAATGGTGGTCTAAATCTTAATACAAGTTTCCCTTAGTTAGTACATTTGAAACTCTAAAGTCTGTATTATTCATTCAGGATTTGTATTATCATTCGATGAAAGTAAAGAATGTCACATACTTTGATCATAAGGATTAAAGTCTGGGCCTTTTCCGCGTAGGGATACTCTTCAACAAGAATATCGTCTGAGGAAATTTCTGAAATGACTCGGACATTATAATCGACGTTGACATCCTTAAGCAGAACAGTGACATCACATTCTGTATTTTTTGTCAATATACACTTCCTTTCCCATTTACCACGAAGCGGGCTGTAAAAAATAGCAAACACATTTCTTATAAATATATGCAGTCAGCAGTTATTTATGCTTAAAATGTAACTACAACTTTGAAGATGTTACTTTTATAGGTTATTCTCTCCAGCCTCCTACCCCAGTCCTACCAACATGTCCCTGATCCAGCGAGAGATCATTTACTAGGTAGCACTTCCAACTGTTAAAAGTGTTCAAAAGCTCTGGATTCTCTATTAATTCCTATGGAGCTTCCAAGTACAAGCTTCATAAAAATAAATTTCTTTAAAAATTTCTCATTTCCTAGCTCTATGACATAAGGGGAGGTGTTCTATTATCCAGTCCAAAGAACTCAGGTAACTTGCTGTAGAAAGCCAATACTGCCTCTAAAAAAAAAATAAAAATCCCAAGCAGCATTGTCACCTTTCAACAGGAAGTTAGGAAGCCCACTGGACTTTTTTTCAGGGTCACCACTTTTTGTAAACTTGCTGTTTTTAAAAAAAGGGACAAGCGTATTATTATTATACAGTATTTATATAGCACCAAAACGTTTTCTCAACGCTGTACATTATAGTGGGGGGACAGAACATGAGGCAATACAGTAAGAAAACAATCCACGAGAGGTTCGAGAGCCCTGCCCTTTCGAGCTTACAATCTAGGAGTAGGTCAATGTATTGTAGAGTTGTACTGAATGTATTTTTTTATGTCACCCAATTACAACCGCAATGGGCCTGATGATGAAACTTGTTTGATGGATGTTTCAGTTGTGAAAAATAAACATTTGCTGCATAAACATCTTATTTTCAGCAGCAAGTCATGTGACCATTGACAAGAGATCTGGTATTATAGTCTGTCGAAAGGTCATAGGGGACTGCATTTCAGGCAAAACTGGCCAATTAGTAGCTCTTTTAATGGAAGATCCTGTCTATCAGCACAGACCACATGACTAATGTCTTGGCGATGGTCACATGAGCTGCCAGAGGTAGTGTGCGCTCATTTCTACTAAAAATGTATTATTCCATCTTTTTTTATTTGTACAATAGGAAAATGTTATTATGGTGGCTCAGATTTACTTTTTTTTTTGTACAGTATGTTTTAAAAAAAAAAAACCCTTCTGACATTCCTTATTTTATCTGCATAAAAATGCTTCAACTGAAGAACCTTTACTGCTTAAATATAATCATTGTAGCAGCTCTGAGATATGAACTTGCCTGGTGATAGTTTATCATTAATGATACCTGCAGCTGCACAATGTGGTCCACGGTAATTATGTTTGCTTTTCCTGGTGCTTTATGAGGGTTTTCATTCCTTTAAATGCTAGATCTGAAGACTGCAAGCAAGGCAGATAGTTTTGTGCATGCAAGAACAGGTAGAGCAATGCACAGGTCACACCTATGTCAATAGCCTTGTTATCAGCACATCTGTCTGTACATACATCATTGGAGGAAAAAAAAAAAAAGTTCCACGCCTAGAAAAAGCAAACCTAGCAAGAGAATGAGGAAAATCATTGCTCAACACTACTTCAAAATCATGAATGTAATATTTTTAATTGCTACCATCGAACTCAGCCACAAGGTCTTGTAGGTCTAACAAAATCAATCAACAAGATAAAATGTACTGCACCTTGAGGCACAAAATGGGTGGGCATGAGAAGATGAATGGGCTGACGTTAATAAAATGTGTAGAAGATAATCTTTGCAGGAATAAGGTGATAGGACTATTGTGAACAGAGGAAAACGCATTTAAAGTCAAGTTCTATTGAATCCTCCCAGAAACCTTAAAAAAAAAAAAACTCACAATGACTATACAAACCAGTTTTTTCCTCCTTTCAGAGCTCGTTCACACTTGACTTTATTTCTAACTCTTGCCAAAAGCCCCTACAGCCTTTGACAGGCATTAGACAGGCGTTTGTGAAGCATTTTTAACGTTCCTCAAACGCTCCCAAAACGCCCTATGTGCGGTTTTAAGGCGGTTGATAGGCGTTTACCAAGCGTTAAAACCGCACCACAAACTCCTATAATGAAGTTAAATGGTATTAGCTCCGCAAACTCCTCACAACCACGTCACAACCGCACACGCCTGCCAAGCGTTTGCGGAGCGGCATCATAGACTTGAATAAGAGGTTTCAACTCCTCCTGACTCGACTCGAGGCGTCAGTTTTGCAGCGACACTAATTCTTCTGTGTGAACAGCACTGTGTGCTGCCATGTGCAGAATTTTCATAGGTGTTTGGGAAGCGCTTTTAACGCTTCTCAAATGCCTGCTGACAAAGCTAGTGTGAACGTAGCCTAAAAGTGTGGGCAACAGAAAGTATATATTTGCTAACACCACAGTTGTCAAAAGCATTCCATTTAAAGTGAAAGTATAGCAAAACCCATATTTTAAGCATTTTGTATAGTCTTGAAATGCATAGGACGTCTCTCTTTTTGTAGTCACTGGAGCACTTGTGTAAGAGACACTAGATCTCTTGTATGTAATGTCCAGTATTGCGAGTGTCCCGTTCACTCAATCAAGCTGACTAGCTTCAGTGAGACCGCTTTCATGTAGCACCCAATCAGAGGTCTTGGAGGAAGTCTAAATAGGGTCTAAGAAAAACAGCAAAAGTGCCACACCAATGCTTACAGAACCTAGAAAGGATTTTGATTAAATCTTGTGAAAGTGCCACACCAATGCTTACAGAACCTAGAAAGGATTTTGATTAAATCCTGTGAAAGTGCCACACCAATGCTTACAGAACCTACAAAGGATTTTGATTAAATCTTGTGAAAGTGCCATGCCAATGCTTGCAGAGCGCAGATAGCATTATTAAATTTTGTTAGAATGGAATAAAACAACCAACGCGTTTCAGAAGTTTAGGCACTCCCCTTCATCGAGGCTTAAATGTTGTATAATCACAATGGGTTCAAGAGAATATTTGTAGTATCTGTATTGTACAATCAGAAGGTAACAGCAGCAGATTAATATACATACTGCAAATATCCTATTGAGCCTAATCCCCCAAAACATGCCGACTTTGTTATTTCATTCAAGCAATATTTAATTAAAAACATCTCAAGCATTGGCATGTCACTTTCACTGCTTTCCTACGCTTAGATTTTTTTTTTTTTTTTCTTGTAAGCATTTCTGACACTGAAACAGGAAGTCAGGAGGCATCTTTCAATGGGGATGAGACACAACAGATTTTTCTATACATATACACTAATGCCAACCTACTGTATTAGTGTTGCAAGTGCTAGATGGGTACTGAGGTGTACAGTAAGTGCTTGGCTTTGAAATTTGTAAGTGCCTATCCTTACTTGTCTCATACATGTCCATTGATGCTCTGTATTCCGAGGTGAGAAGAGGCAGCTAGCTGTTCATAGTTTATAGAAGGCAGGGGGTTAGTATTTTGATAGAACAAACAATTATGAATGTGAAAAAAAATTTAAAATGTTATTTAAAGGACATGTTGTTAATTAAATGATCACTCCCATGACACTATCCAAATTCTTTTTCTCTTTGGGGTGGCACATGAGGAATAGTATTTACCAATAAGGATTACACAAGAACCACAATATACCATATTCACTCCATTCTGTCAGTATGCTTAGCAATGATTACTGTGTCTGTGAGGTCCAAAGCAGACAACTGAATCAGCCTGCTGCAGTCACATGAACAAACTATGTATGAACTCTTCTACTTACTTTCTTACTTCCACTGTGTAGGAAAAATTTGTAGGGTTGCCATCCCATTCTACAAGAGATTTAAAGTTCGTAGATGACCATTTAATGTTCTTTGCTGTCGGAAAATTTACATCTGTAAAAAAGAAAAAAAACAAATGTAAATCTATACATCTTTTAATATCTTATTATTCAAATAAAAGCCAACAGAGGCGTTATACCAAAGTAAATCAGCCAAAGCATATAGTACAGTAAGCTTAGGCCTCAATAATACTAAATAGACAGCATTGGGCAGTTAAAGCTGACCCCTACACAAATGTAATACATTCTGTATACGAAAATTGTTTCACCTACACTGGAACTATAGATGTGTCTACATCCGCTGCCTGAGTGTTCTTAGCTGTAGGTCATGCAAACTCTTCTGCCTAACAAACTACAGCAAGTTCTGTATCTTAGTGGAAACTGTAAAAATAGTATTGCCATTACATATGCAGCCATGGAAGGGATCTCTACAGTAACTGCAGGGTCCTCAAACCCCCTCTAACCTGCAGTCTGATGGACATGTTGAATTGGTCTCTAGTGTCTGCCCCCTAGTGGCCAATCTGGCTCATTCAAACTGTGTGCATGCGCAGTGCACTCTCTCTTTCTCTAGCTGCATATGTAATGGAAAAGCAGGAGCAGCATTTGGAAATGATACACTATATTGCCAAAAGTATTGGGATGCCTGCCTTTACATGAACTTTAATTGCATCCCAGTCTTAGTCCATAGAGTTCAATATTGAGTTGGCCCACCCCTTGCAACTGTAACAGCTTCAACTCTTCTGGGAAGGCTGTCCATAAGGTTAAGGAGTGTGTCTATGGGAAGGTTTGACCATTCTTTCAAAAGTGCATTTGTGGAGTCAGGCACTGATCTCAGATGAGAAGGCCTGGCTCGCAGTCTCCGCTCAAATTCATCTCAAAAGGTGTTCCATCGGGTTCAGGTCAGGACTCTGTGCAGGTCAGTCAAGTTCCTCCACCCCAAACTCGCTGATCCATGTCTTTATGGACTTTGCTTTGTGTACAGTCATGTTGGAACAGGAAGGGGCCATCCCCAAACTGTTCCCACAACGTTGGGAGCATGAAATTGTCCAATGTCTTAGTATGCTGACGCCTTAAGAGTTCCCTTCACTCTAACTAAGGGCCCAAGCAGGGGCAGACTGACAACTCATGGGGCCCCAGGGCAATAGGGGATCATGGGGCCCCTGTGGTCCTTGCCGAAACTCAAAAAAGCCTATGAAAAAGGTACCAGGGGCATCTCATGGGGCCCCCTACTGACCCCGGGCCCTCGGGCAGTGCCCGAGTTTCCAAATGGTCAGTCCGCCCCTGGGCCCAAGCCCAACCCCTGAAAAACAACCCCACACCATAATCCCCCCTCCACCAAACTTTACACTTGGCACAATGCAGTCAGGCAAGTACCGTTCTCCTGGCCACCTCCAAACCCAGACATGTTCATCAGATTGGCAGACAGAGAAGTGTGATTCGTCACTTCAGAGAACACATCTCCACTGAGTCCAGTGCTTTACTGCTTTACACTACTGCATCCGACGCTTTGAATTGCACTTGGTGACGTAAGGCTTGGATGCAGATGCTCGGCCATGGAAGCCCATTCCATGAAGCTCTCTACGCACTGTTGTTGTGCTAATCTGAAGGCCACATGAAGTTTGGAGGTCTTTAGCTATTGACTGCAGACAATTGGAGACTTCTGCACACTGTGCGCTTCAGCATGCGCTGACCCTGCTCTGTCATTTTACATGGCCTACCATTTCATGGCTGAGTTGCTGTTGTTCCCAGCTGCTTCCACTTTGTTATAATAAACTAAGCTGACTGTGAAATATTTAGTAGCAAGTAAACTTCACGGATGGGCTTATTGCACAGATGGCAACCTATCACGGTACCATGCTTGAATTCACTGAGTTCCTGAGAGCGACCCATTCTTTCACGAATGTTTGTAGAAGCAGTCTGCATGCCTAGGTGCTTGAGTTTATACACCTGTGGCCATGGAGGTGATTGGAACATTGAACCCAATGATTTGTAGGGCTGTCCCAATACATTTAGCATTATAGTGTATTTTTCTATGCAGGGGACTGGGATTGTACAGGGGAAATTTTTGTAAACTTGCCAAATGCTGACCTTACACTTTAAAAAGGAAACTGGGTAAATACTATTGAGTAACATTTTAGTGTATGATATTTGAATCTAAAAAAAAAAAAAAAAAGCTGTTTAAAAAAGCAGAAGGAAATGACGATTGCAACATCTATGTTGCTGGCTAAAGTGCAATGCAAATCTTAGGTGTTTTTTTCCTCAGTGGGCAGCCTGCCATGGCCAGGTCCAGTGCTGTAATAGTAATTCTGGGGTTTGCGATGTTTTATATGGTAGTAAGCAAAATGCTTTACTTATAGAAATAAATTGCATATCTGCACAATTTGTGGACTTAGCAAAAACTACAAGTTTATCAGTATGACAGATAAACAAGTCATTACATTTTAGCATGAATTCTTTTTTTTGTATATTGCTATATCTGAGACAGAACAGGGAGAACTCGTAGCAGCCAAATAGAGACTTTCATTGATCTGACAACAGTGTACTGACTCCTAATCAGTTGCTAGGGTTTGCAGCAGTTTACATATACCTACTGAGATTGGCACTGCTTTGCTGCTGGTGCGTTATAGACCTTTGGACTATTACATGACTAGGACTACAGTCAACTCTGCCTTAGCAAAAAATGAATGTAAGCCTTTGTTAGCAGAGGCAGGTGAAGATCAATAAACTGGTCATCGCAGATTTTTACTATCAGACATGGAAAGGCTTTTAATGTGCTGTGTGCTACAAATCTTCATTCACGGTTTTCTTTGTAAAATCCAGCAGACATGCTATTCTAATTACAATTCCAGCAGGTCACAGTAAAACTAAGCCAGACCATCCGGTTGAGAAGACTGCTTTGACTTAAATGATTTCCATACATGTTCTTGATCATATACACGTGTTTAAAGGGAACCCTCCTAGATTGCTACTCTACACATGCTGTTTCACAATATGTCTCTGATCTGCTGTTATAGATGACATGCCTCCTACAGCTTCCTCTACTTTTATCATAAAAAATATAGTAGAAAGTATGCAGCTGCTATTAAATCTTCATAAGCTCTGTCTATAGGGTCCCTGTGATCTGTGAAACCAGAATCATCATGTATTACAACAGAGTTTTCTAATTATTTCTTTCATGTTCTAATGATCGGTAGCATATCGTTTCTATACCACAAAAATATAATTAATATACGGTACATACAACTGAATGAGCAGAGAAGATACGTTTAATTTCACCTTTTTGGAAAAAAATAAAAGATCAACTAACATCATACACCCTACCAGGGGTGGACTGACAACTCATGGGGCCCCCGGGCAATAGGGGGATCATGGGGCCCATGTCCTTGCCCAAATTCAAAAAAGCCTATGAAAAAAAAAAAAAAAAAAAAAAAAAAAAAAAGTACCAGGGGCATCTCATGGGGCCCCCTACTGACCCCGGGCCCTCGGGCAGTGCCCGAGTTTCCAAATGGTCAGTCCGCCCCTGCACCCTACTGAATCCTAAAAGGGGTATCCTCCAAAAAAACAGGAGACTTTTGTGACACTGTGCTAAAGAACAAAACATGAATTGGATATAAAATTAAATTTATTAAAGTCCATTAAAATGATGGACCATCTATTCCACTAATTAGTAGACAGATATATTAAAACATAACCAACAAATCACGTAGTAAGATTTGACGATTTCATATCCTGATAGTAATGCCGACGTGTTTCGCAGTCCACATCTGCTTCTTCAAAGGCTGTGCAGATCGTCACAGTGTTCACTTAAATAACAGGATCGCTATTGGTTCAAAGTGATACTATACACCGATGTCTGCTGCCAGGAACAAATGTCACATCACATGCCCATAAATACTCCTCCACTTCAAAGGGGGAAGTTGCCTTGACTATTGTAACTCCCTCCTCATTGGCCTACCGAATCGCAGGCTATCTCCTCTTCAGTCTTGAATGCTGCTGCCAGACTTATCCACCTTACTAACCGTTCTGTATCTGCCACCCCTCTCTGCCAATCCCTCTACTGGCTTCCCATTGCCCAACGGATACAGTTCAAAACATTAACAATAACGTATAAAGCCATTTATAACTCTGTCCCAAAATTACATCACCGATCTTATCTCTAAATATCACCCAAACCGTCTTCTCCACTCCTCGCAAGACCTCCTGTTCTCTAGCTCCCTTGTCTCCTCCTCCCATGCTCATCTCCAGGAGCTCATCTCCTTTTCCAGAGCTTCCCCCATCCTCTGGAACTCTCTACCCCAATTTTTCAAACTATCGCCTACTCTACTCACTTTTAAGCAATCTCTGAAAACCTATCTCTTCAGGGAAGCCTATCCTGCCCTCAGCTAATAATGGAATCTTCTACTCTTCCAACCAGTCCATCCCCCACAGTTACTACCTTTTGTACCACTTGCCCATCCCTCCTAGACTGTAAGCTCCAAGGAGCTGTATTGAACTGTATTGTCTCCTGTTATATTGTAAAGCGCTGAGTAAACTGTTGGCGCTATATAAATCCTGTATAATAATAATAAAGGAGGAAAAGAGGCCAAACACTGGGCCACACAGAGGAGAAGAGGTAATGAACACCATACGCCCCTGCCCCCCAGGTCCCCACGGTAGGTACCTCTTGGTTCCTGAGCGGTCAGTGCCCATGCAACCAGTATAGTGGTCGGCATTGATGTGCGTTTTAGTTAAAACTGCAGGCTCCAGTGTTAGGGCAGCCTATTAACTCGAATATACTAAAATGACACCACAGATGTGCTCACACCTTTTTATTAAAAAAACACTCAACGCACAGTGCTTTGTTACCATGCATTATGGTGCGCTACAACATGGGTGTTAGCAAGATGTATTAGGATACTATTAAGAATGAATGGTATCGCAGTGCAACTACATTAAGCATGCATGTTTTCATGTGTTTCACTGGTGCACAGATGTGAATGGGGACTGAGGG